AAAAAAAAAATCACAAATCTAGCTTACCCATTCTCATTTTCTCCAGGCCAGATATCATCTTCATAGAAAACATCTTCTTGGCTGTTTTTGGATATATAACTAAATAGTTCTGGAGCTCTAGCCAAACAAATAAACAAAAATACTGGTTTAAAATATATACAATTAACTTCATAAAAATATCCTATGAAATAATTTTGGATCCTAAGGGGATACATAAAGCATATTGAGGACCAATTACTATGATATTAATAAGGAATATTATTAAGGGATAGAAAGTGAAAGATTTGAAAATCAGAGTATTCCTCAGTCCTCAAAAACTTCTACTGCCTGAGGCTTAATTCATATATAAACTTATAATAAACTTAAATTACTGACTCCATATCTTTGATTATAATAAAGGTAATAAATAATAGTTACAGGCTCATTTTCTAATTTTCACAATAAAACTAGAGTACTCTATAATGATAGTTCAGTTGCTCCTAATATTCTTCATAACTCCACTTCTTTCTAAATAGTACAGGACTTTTAGATACATAAAGCAGATTGAACACATGTGCTTGTCTTTGGTTCCTCTCTAATCCTCAAAATAACAGTAAAGTATAAAAAGTGCATACATCTAAAAAGGTAGAAAGAGAGGCAGAATATCTGATGGCATATATAAGTTTTAAGCAAAATTTTAGAAATTAGAAACTGGATGGATGAATATTAACTTATTTGCCAGACAAGAATAAGCTAACTCTTAAACCACAAGTAGGGGAAGTCAATGAGGAGCAAATTGATTTGGGCCACAGAATTCTGCAAAAGCTCTGGAATTATAAGCTCCTGGTCCATTTCAAAGCTGTAGGGTAGAGTGAGGTTTACTGACATTTTAGTTAAACATTTGTATGACAAGAACCTAGAATGTCATGTGGTCACTTGCTTATCCTCTTATCATCATAAGATCTGCAGCTTATATTTTGGAGAGATGTTCTACCTTGGATACATCAAGCATAAGTAGTGAGTGAGGCACAAGAAAGAGAGGAAAAGATGCCATATTGAAAACAGGAAATCAGTGGAAGCATAAATACTATACGCTAGGAAGCAGACTCTGAGAGGGATGTAAGGTGCAGTAAGTTTAGTAGGGATTGCTTGTGGGATATCTAAACCACAAATTTAAGGTCTGTGGATAGGAAGGGAGAGGAAGGAAGTAGAATTGGGCATGGGGAGAAAGCTGGGCTGTAATTAATCCTCAGTGAATTCCTTGATCAGCCACACAAAAATCTCTAACTAGGATGACCTGTCAACTTCTCCTGAATTGGGGCAATCAGGTTGGCTGGGCCTTAATACTCTCTCAGAGACTGGGCATTGGATCTGTTATTATGGCAAGGGAATGTAACTAACATGAGGCAGTTCTCTTCATCTAGGCAATTCCTGAAGAAAGCTCACAGCTGAGGACTGTCAGAAAGCAACACTCCTGAAGTCAGGGGAATAGGTCTTTGGAGATCTAGGGGATATATCACAGTATCCACTAGGCAACGAGACTCCCATTCTTTGGTTAATTTCCAGAATACTGGCAGTCAGTTTTTGTCTGCCATCTCCTTTACCCAAGAAAAAGGTGAGAGGGTACCTCTCTGGGAAAGAAAAGTGGTAATATTAAGAGGTTCTCTGTAGAGACGACAAAGTTCCACTTAATAAACCCCACCTAAATGCACTAAATTTCTAATCAGCTTGTTAGTGCCTCATTCATAAATATAATTGGACATTAAAGAATCACCAGAAAAGTAAAAAAAAAAGTCTTTAACATGAAGAAAAGACCAAACAAAATAGGAAAAAACAAGAGCAATTGGGAGAAAACAGAAAATGCAAAGAACAGAAGAAAAAAATCTAGAATTATTATTTTCAGAGAAATAAAAGGCATTCCATTTATTATGAAAACAAGAAAGCTATAAACAAAGAATAGCTAGGGCGGTGCCTGTGGCTCAGTGAGTAGGGCACCGGCTCCATATACCAAGGGTGGTGGGTTGAAACCCAGTCTTGGCCAAACTGCAACAAAAAAATAGCTGGGTGTTGTAGCGGGTGCCTGTAGTCCCAGCTACTTGGGAGGCTGAGGCAAGACAATCACCTAAGCCCAAGGAGTTGGAAGTTGCTGTGAGCTGTGACTTCACAGCACTCTACTGAGGGTTAAGAAGTGAAACTCTGTCTCAAAAAAAAAAAAATAACTAGAGAATAAGGACATACTTTTAGAAATTAAAAATATTAAATAGAAATTTTAAAATGATCGAAGACAAGATAAAAGTTGAAGAAACAGCCCAGAGTAGAAGTATAACGATATAAACAATGGGCTCAGCATCTGTAGCTCAGGGGCTAGGGCTCCAGCCACATACACCAGAGCTGGTGGGCTCGAATCCAGCTTGGGCCTGCCAAACAACAATGAGAACTACAACCAAAAAGAAGCCAGGCATTGTGGTGGGTGCCTATAGTTCCAGCTACTTGGGAGGCTGAGGCAAGAGAATCACTTGAGCCGAAGAGTTTGAGGTTGCTGTGAGCTGTGACACCACGGCACTCTACCCCAGGGCAACAGCTTGAAACTCTGTCTCAAAAAATAAACAAACAAAAATATAAACAATGGATGAGAAGAAATAAAAAAAAAATAAAAGATGATCAAACCAGAAGGTTTAAGATATAATTAATAGGATTCCCAGAAATGGAGAACACAAAAAATGGTGAGGAGGAAATTATCTAAGAAATAATACAAGAAAACATCTCAGGATGGAAGGGCATGAATTTCAAGACTGAATAGGCTGAACAGTAGAGGGAAAGAAAAAAGACCCATGCCAAGGCACATGTCATCATATTATTAATCAGCATTGGCAAAAGGAAAATTCTAAAAAGATTTCAGAAAATGAAAATAGATTATATACCAAGATTGAGAATCAGAAAGGCACAGGATTGGTGTTTGGGGTTGTCACAGTGTCACCATTGCTGCCTAACGCCCATGCTACCTCTAGTTCACCAAACTTCAGCAGAAGAGAGGTAGCAAAAAGAGAAGAGGGAGGGGGTGAGGAGGTCTTTACACCATGGCTGGCAAATCTACAGAAACTACCACCCCCCCAAGCAACTTGCTACAAAAGCCGCTGGCAAGAGTGCCCCCTCTACCGGAGGGGTAAAGAAATTTCATTGCTACTGGCCTAGTACCGTGGCATTCCATGAAATCAGATGTTATCAGAAGTCCAATGAACCTTTAATATTCACAAACTTCCTTTTCAGCACGTGGTGGGAGAAATTGCTAAGAACTTCTTAACAGATCTGCACTTCCAGAAAGGGCTATTGGTAGTTTGCAGGAGGCAAGTGAGGCCTAACTGGTTGGCTTTTATAAAGACACTGTGTACTATCCATGCCAAACGTGTAACAATTATGCCAAAAGACATCCAGCTAGCACGTGCTGTCTACATGGAGAACGTGCTTAAGAATTCACTGCGATGGGAAAACATTTCATTACCCTCTCCCAAAATTCTCTTTTTCCTGTTATTGGTAGTTCTGAATGTTAGATATTTTTTCCCCTGTGGGATCAAAAGATACTGGAGTATATGACTACAAATGGAAAAACAGAGGACAGAAATCAGATATTGGCAGTTTTCCAATTTCATTTGTGTGTGAATCTTTACAATAAACACAGGGAGTGAAGCATTAATGCAAGTCAAAATGTTTCAGTAAACAAGTTTCAGCAGTTCAACTTTATACCAATTATAAATAAACTTGTGAAAAATTTCTGGACAATGCCAGCATTTAGACTTTTTTAAAACAAGTAAATTTCTTATTAATAGCAACTAAACGGTGACTGTAGCATTTGTATCATGTAATAGACATCCATTCACTTTACTTTTCTAAGTTGTCCTGTATGCAAGTATACGTCTTTACTGTAAACTATATAAACAAAGGTACAAGGCTTATCAACCACCGTACTGAAATCAAGAAGAGAACGGAACAGTGCTTTCAAAATTTGGAGGGCAAATAATCTCCAATTTAGGATTCTATGCCCAGAAAATTATCAATCAAGCATAGAAGAATAAGGACATTTTCAGGCACTCAAACTTTCTTAGGAGGTGCTATACAGGAGTAAGTGCTCCATCAAAATGGAGACATAAAACAGAAAGTATGAGGGCGGTGCCTGTGGCTCAGAGAGTAGGGCGCCAGCCCCATATACTGAGGGCGGTGGGTTCAAATCCAGCCCCAGCCAAACTGCAACAAAAAAATAGCTGGGTGTTGTGGCATGTGCCTACAGTCCCAGCTATTGGGAGTCTGAGGCAAGAGAATCGCCTAAGCCCAGGAGCTGGAGGTTGCTGTGAGCTGTGACGCCATAGTACTCTACTGAGGGTTACAAAGTGAGACTCTGTCTGTGGAAAAAAAAAAAAATTAAGATATGAGAGCCAGAAAATGAAAGGAATTAATACAAGAGAATGGTGAAGAGAATTCCTGCAGAAGGAAACTCTAGAATGAGAGCTGTGCAACAGTTCTAGAGAGCAATGAGTTCAAACTCAAGTAAGAAGACAGGTTTTAGGAAGAAGTCTCCAAGAAGAAAGTGGAACTGAGAGATCACCTAATCTGTTTTACCATGTTGAGTTTTACAGCTATGGTACAGAGATTAGGGCTGAATTAGTTATGTGAACACAGACAACATGCAAATGAAAAAACAGCAGAAAAAACAGAAAAAAGTCTCTAATAGTAGGAAATCCATGAATACATCAAGTTGAAAAATCATGAAAAAGGACTCTTAAATATGACTTTTTTTTTTTTTTTGTAGAGACAGAGTCTCACTCTATTGCCCTAGGTAGATTCCTGTGGCATCATATAGCTCTGAGCAACCTCCAACACCTCGGCCCAGGCGATTCCCCTGCCTCAGCCACCCGAGTAGCTGGGACTACAAGCACCTGCCACAATGCTCGGCTATTTTTTGTTACAGTTTGGCTGGGGCCAGGTTTGAACCTGCTATCCTCGGCATATGGGGCTGGTGTCCTACCCACTAAGCCACAGGCACTGCCCTTAAATATGACCTTTTTTCCCCTTGGGACAGAGTCTCATTTTGTTGCCCTCGGTAGAATGCCCTGGAGTCACAGCTCACAGCAACCTCAAATTCTTGGGCTAAAGTGATTTTCTTGCCTCAGCCTCTCAATTAGCTGGGACTATAGGCACCCGCCACAGTGCCAGGCTATTTTTAGAGATAGGAGTCTCCCTCTAGCTCAGGCTGGCCTTGAACTTGTGAGCTTAGGTCAGGGGTCCTCAAACTTTTCAAACGGGGGCCAGTTCACTGTCCCTCAGACCATTGGAGGGCCGGACTGCGGGTCCGGGAGAACTCGGCTGCTAAGCAGGACAGGCAGCAGTGGCAAAAACACCCGGCAGGCTGGATAAATATCCTAGGCGGGCCACATGTGACCTGCAGGCCGTAGTTTGAGGACACCTGGCTTAGATGATACACCCACCTTGGCCTCTCAAAGTGCTAGGATTACAGGTGTGAGCCACTGTGCTCAGCCTTAAATATGACCTTTTAGAGATATCTGAAAGTGAGCAGACATGATCTAAATTTACAGGGGTAACATGGGAATGAATTGTGCTGTTGCCTGCCTCAAAACACACAGAATGGGACTTTATATGGAAATAGACTTTATAGAGGCAATCAAGTAAAATGAGGACATTAGGGTATGCTCTAATCCAGTATGACTGATGTCCTTAAAAAACTGAAAATTAAGAGACAGGGACAAAGAGACAAAAGATGATGGGAGACATACAGCGAGAACACGTGAAGATGGAGGACTGGAGTGATGCACTGAGAAGTCAAGGAATATGTGAGGCTAGGAGAGAGGTGCTTTTTTTCGTTCTGCCTTCAGAAGGACCATTCACCCTTGATTTGGAGTTTTTTTTTTTTTTTGGAGACAGAGTTTCACTATGCCACCCTCAGTAGAGTGCCATAGCGTCACAGCTCACAGCAACCTCAAACTCTCAGGCTGAAGCGATTCTCTTGCCTCAGCGTCCCCAGTAGCTGGTACTACAGGTGCCTGCCACAATGCCCGGCTATTTGTTGATGTTTCGGTTGTCACTGTTTCTTTTCCGGCCTGGGCTGGGTTCGAACCCCAGCCTCGGTGTGAGTGGCTGGCGCTGTAACCACTGTACTATAGGCGCCGAGCCTTTATTTGGAGTTTTGATCACCAGAACTGCGTGACAATAAATCTTATTTAAGCCACCCTGCTTGTGATACTTGCTATGAGATCCCTAAGAAACTAATCACTAAGAATCCTTAAATTTAAGGTTAGGAACTAGTGGAAAGAACATTTAATAATGAATCAGAGGGGAACATACTTCCTACAAATCTTTGTCACTAGGCTCTGTGCCCGTACCTTAGTGGTCAGGGCACCAACCACATACATGGAGGCAGGTGGGTTCAAACCCAGCAGGGGCCTGCTAGCAACAAAGAAATAGCTGGGTGTTGTGGTGGGCGCCTGTAGTCCCAGCTACTTGGGAGGCTGAGGCAAGAGAATCACTTAAGCCCAAGAGTTAGAGGTTGCTGTATGCTGTGATGGCATAGTACTCTACAGAGGGTGACATAGTGAGAAAAAAGAAAAAAGATCTTTGTGATTAAATAACTCAGTTAGCTCTGGCATTCAGTTATCTCATTTTTATAATGTGGAGTTGAGACTTTTCATTTCTTCAGCAATAAAATTCAATAATTTTAGGATGTGCATGGTGGCTTACATCTGTAATCTGAGCACACTGGGAGGCCAAGGCCAGAAGATCAGTTAGGCCAGGAGTTCAAGACCATCCTCAGCAAAATAGTGAGACCTTATTTCTACAAAATATAGAAAAAATAAGCCAGGTGGGATGGTGTATACCTGTAGTCCCAGCTACTCAGGAGGCTAAGGCAAGAGGATTGCTTGAGCCCAGAAGTTTGAGGCTAGTGAGCTATGATCTGCCACTGTACTCTAGCTTGGGTAATAGAGCCAGATACTATCTCTAAAGAAAGAAAAAATTCGACTCAGTGCCTGTAGCACAGTGGTTATACCACCAGCCACATACACCGAGGGTGGCAGCTTTGAACCCAGCGCAGGCCAGCTAAACAATAATGACAATTGCAACAAAAAATAGCCAGGCATTGTGGCGGGCACCTGTAGTTCTAACTACTTGGGAGGCTGAGGCAAGAGAATCGCTTAAGCCCAAGAGTCAGAGGTTGCTGCCAGCTGTGACGCTATGGCACTCTACTGAGGGTGATGTAGTGAGACTCTGTCAAAAAAAAAAAAAAAAAATTCTAGGATAATAACCTGTTCAGTTATAGCTGTGAAAATCTACTATGCCAAGAGCTCTTTTGTTTAGCTATGCCAGTTCTCTTAGAGGCATGCAAAGTAGTGAATAATTTATAATATTAAATTAAGGTAAACTTTAACTAAAAGGAGTCTAATTCTAATCATATTTTTTCTTTTAAATAACATAAGTACCATATTTTCCTACTCTATTTAGCTAATAGCTGTGATAGATAATCCATGACAAAATTAAGTTTAGATGTAACATATGTTACATTTTACTAAAGGAAATATTTTTCCTATAAAACGATGCCAGCAAGGCTATATAAATAGCACATTCTTAATTTCTTGGATGCCTAGTAGGATCTAGCCAAGTACTTACCTCTCTAAGTATTCTGCAAGAAGTTGTTCTGCTGCAGATGAATACATCCATTCGCTTCCAACTTTCTTAGTATATCCAGGTACCTCTTCATTTTTTTTGTTGAATTTGAGATTTAAACCCACATTTGCTTTATGGTCTCCATGAGGGCTGAATTTAAAACCATACACACACACACACATACACACACACACACACACAAACACAAAAGTTTTAAAATGTTTTTCAAAGAACAAAAAGTTTTGCTTTCAATTCTTAGAAAAGCTGAGTTTTGATTGTACTTATATATTTTATTATTATGGTTATTTTTAAAGTAGCAGGAATTGAAAAACAAGAGGAAAGGCTTCAAAACCCAAGTTAAGAAAGCATGTAAATAAATTATATAATTACAGAGGAAAATGAAATAACAAGATGCAGGGAAATATGCTATTGAGGTTCACACACACCCTGTGATACCTTTTTTCAAGGTTCAATTTGTTAGCTGCTAAAAATAAGAATTGTTTTTCCAACCACCTAAAACATGTGCTATTCAGATGAAAGATCACCATCAGAGGAATTTATGCACAATTTTAAAAGTAAATTCAGAGCAATTCATAAGAGAAAAAAATACTAAAATAGTAAGCATTTTATCTTTATCATTTTTTCTGCCACTTTAAGTAAATTTCTCTAACATAAACTTACTTTCTCCTAGATCCTCTTCCAATAAAAATACTTCCTGTAAACCTTGAAACAAGGTATCCACTCACTCCAAGGCGACTGGCCAACACATATCCTGGGTTGTACTTTATAGAATATTTCTTTAAATATAAAAACAAAAAGGTCAATTATGGAAACACAAGCTTACATTAAATGTTATTTGTTTACCTTAAAAATCTGGAGATAATCAAGACATCACTAACCATTGGATTGTGGCAATATAAGGATTCTCACTTAGATCCATTTCCCCTTTTTTTTTTTGAAAGGATCTGTAGGCAGAATTTTTCTGCTCCTCTCTCTTTTTCCTTAAACAACAGAATTCCCAAGGATGGATGAAAGGGGGAGGAAATATACAAGAAATAAACTCTACTGTAAGTACTAAACGGCAAACTCCACAGGCAAGCTTTTTCTTTTTAGCTAATTTTCATATTCTAAGCTGTGCCTATCAAAGAAAGTACCTGGGATAAAATGAGGCTTCAATAATTATTATACTAAAATTAAGACAAATATTTTACCAAAATAGTTGCTACTGAGAAAAATTAAAAGTGTCTTTCATATATGAATATAATATTTTCCACCTAATATTTTCTATCTAATGAAAGTTATAAGCATAAATAGGCTCATATTCATATAGTCAATGAAATATAACCTTAAATTGAGTATTTAAGGGAAGAAACTATGAAGACTGTGATATTAAAAAAAAAAGAAGTATCAGATTATATAATTTTAACCCAGAAGCAAATGATTCACTTATCCAGCACCAACAAGGATAAACTACCATAGAGAATCCAAACAATGTATACAATAGTAACACACTCTGATTTTATATTCAAACATATTAATTATATAGTTATTTATATTCATATTTTATATTCATATCAACATGAATATAAGGAAATTTTAGTACCAACAATAGACAAATTTCTAGAGATTGGTAAGGAAATCAGCTACCAGTATTTTTTATTGATCATGTCTATCTACAATGACCCTCAAATGGATAATTTTTCTGGTGGCTTGGAGTACAAAGTTACTATTAAAACAAATAAATATGTTAGTAAAGAATGTAACAGTTTTTTAATCAAAAACATCATCAAATTTAGCAATAATATAATTCCAATTAAACATGCTTTCCAGAATAGATAAGTAGAATTAAGGTAGTAGTTTTCAATTCCAAGTGCTGCTTTTCTAGTATTTGGAAATGTGGAGGGGCACATTCAGCTATAAAAATTGGCATGAGTCACTAGCACTCATTGCCCATGGACCAAAGATGCTAGTTATCCTGCTATATATAGAGGAGTCTTATTTAATATATAATTACCGTGCCCCCAAATATCAACAGTACTTTTTTTCAGAAATACTGGGCTATGCTATAATTAAAAATTAATTAAAAGTATCACAAATATCATAGAAAATATAAAATAAATAGCTGAGAACATTAGGGTAAAGTAGGCAGACTGACTAAAAGCTAAAGAAGGTATGAAAAGAGAAAGAAAATATACTAGAGAAGGCATACTCCCAAATACTATATACTGTGAGTGGGCAGGCTCTTCTAAATCTAGAAAAAGTCAGGGACGAAGGAGCACAAGTTCTTCTGCCTTCAGTGATTCCAAAGAAAAAACTCCCATTTCTTTACCAAATGAACCACTCTCCTAATTTCCTGATTATGCTATCTAAATTTGTTCTCCAATAGATACCTGATGGTAAGATTTTTAGGGATATCTTTGCCTTCCATGTATAAAGTTTTCTTAGTGGTGTGCTGATACCTAATGCCATAGTTCATTTCACAGGATATATAAAGTTTTAGATTTTACCATTTGAAAAGTAAAAAAGCCTAAGTAGCAATAGCTGGTTGATTATGAATTAACTTCAGCTAATGTAATTTTCCAATCAGTAAATAAGCATAAATGACAGATATCAGTAACTTCTCCCTACTTTAACAGGGAAAAAGGAGGTAAAAGGAGAAAAAGTCCCCAAAATGGATGCTGTGAACTTAAATGCGGTTTCCCAATATTCTTTAGGGTTGAGACTATTCATTTTTAGGTGGGCAGAGATGTACAACCTTTGCAGAAAGGCCATGTGTCACTTATAACAAAAAAGGTAGCTCTGAATTATTATGAAAGATTTAAAAAACCTAAGTCTGGCAGGGTACAGTGGCTCATGCCCATAATCCCAGTGTTTTGGGAGGGTGAGAGGCAGGAGGAACACTTGAGGCCAGATGTTCAAGATGAACCTAGAAAATACATAGCAAGACCTGGTCTCTGTGAAAAATAGAAAAAAAATTAGCCGAGTATGGTGATATGAATCTGTAGTTCTAGCTTCTTAGGGGACTAAGGTGGGAGGATTACTTGAGCCCAAGAGTTCCAGGCTTCAGTGAGCTGTGATTGTGCCACTAAACTCTAGGCTTAGCCTAGGCAACAGAGTGAAATTTGGTCTCAAAATACATACCTCCACTCCCTTTCCCCCAGGTAGCTCTCCTAAGTCTATTCTCAGAGGGTATTCTAATCAATGTGTCTCTTCTAAGTTTGAACATGATAATTAATGATAACCATTGTGGACCAATAATGAGATTTCAGTGATGTTTTTCTCCCTTCTAAAGATGTGTATAAAGTTTTCAGAACAGTTCCACACTTATTTATAAGTAACACTAGATACAAGTGTGAAAGAATTTACTCAGTATTAAAAATTTGAAATAAATTCAAAGGAGTCACAAAATTATCCTTCTAACATTTTAAAGGTTTATCATTTCTAAATGAAATAATAGAAACTATACTCACATGTTGGTTCTGTATTAAAGCATCAAGATTGGGTTCACATGGAATGCTGAAAACCACACGAATCCTACCTTCTGTAATCACATCACCTGAATCTTGAACCTTGGATGAAAAAAAAAGATCACAGTATATTTTAGTCTCTTTCACTGTATTTTATTTATTTATTTTTGCTTATTTGAACAGTATTTATTATGTGTGAAGCACACTGTCACAATAAAGTTAGTGGAAATTCTCTAGGAATTTGTAAGTGGATATTGATAATATTGTATATTTGAGTCACTGTATCGTTACTTTAATAGCTGTTACTCATTCTGTTTTAAATTAACTTTTTATTTGCAAATAACTTCAAGGAACCAACAAATTACAAAAAAGGTACTACATACTTGAAAATATTTATCCAGATTCATCATTTTACTGTTAAGTAAAATGGCTTGAACATTTGTTAATTAAAAAAAAACCAGGGCAGTGCCTATGGCTCAGTGGGCAGGGCACCGGCCCCATATACCAAGGGTGGCAGGTTCGAACCTGGACCCGGCCAAACTGCAACAACAAAAAAAACAGCCAGGCATTGTGGTAGGCACCTATAGTCCCAGCTACTTGGGAGGCTGAGGCAAGATAACCACCTAAGCCCAGGATGTGAGCTGTGATGCCACAGCACTCTACTGAGGGTGATAAAGTGAGATTCCATCTCTAAAAAAATTAATAAATAAAATAAAATAAAAATAAAAAGTTTCGGCACCTGTGGCTCAAGAGGCTAAGGTGCCAGCCACATACACCTAAACTGGCGGGTTCGAATCCAGCCTGGGCCCGCCAAACAACAATGACAACTGTAACCAAAAAATAGCCAGGCGTTGTGGCAGGTGCCTGTAGTCCTAGCTACTTGGTTGAGCCCAGGAGTTGGAGGTTGCCATGAGCTGTGATGGCACAGCACTCTACCCAAGGCGACAGCTTCAGGCTCTGTCTCAAAAAAAAAAAAAAAAAAAAAACATATGCATGCTTTCTTAAAAAAAAATTTGCACACTGTGTGTGTATTGGCATAATTATTTTTCAGAACCCTTTGAAGAAGTATTACATAAATTATGTCCCTGATCTCAAATATTTCAGTGTGTATTTCCTAAGAGTATTTCATTAAATAATCATAGTACAGTTATTAAATGTATAAATTTACATTGATAAATTCATCCAAGCTACTATTCATATTCCAGTTTGTCAGTTGACCTAACAATCACTTTTATAGAACTGATTTCTCCCTTTACTACAAAATTCAGGCTAGTATCAGATATATTGCATTTCATTGTCATATCTCTTTAGCATTATATAATTTGGAATATATCCAAAGACTTTCTTCATTTTTTATAACACTGACATCTTGAAGAATACAATTTGTCTTTCCCTTTTCACCTTTCCTTTTATAAAAAACAATTTCTTATTTTGGGTTTCTCTGATGCTTTTTCATAATCAGGTTAAGGTAGTCTCAGTTAAAATATTGCACATATGCTGCATGCTCCTCAGGGTACCACATTTGGAAGCACATAATGTTCCTCAATGATACTAACTTTGATGATACTATCAAAATGTTGCTCAATTTCTTCTCACACAATTAAAGTTTTTTTTATAATAAATAGTTTGTGGGAAAAGACTTTCTAAAATCATGCAAATATCCTGCTCTTGATAATAACTACAAAGGGTTTTCCTCCTCCAATGCTCTCTCCACATTTATTCCTGACATGCTACTATAAAGAGCCCTTCCCTTCCCTATTTATCTTTATATTACCAATATTACTATGGAATCATGAATTACTATTTCCCCCAATTGGTTATAATTTATTATTGTATGTAATTATCTTGGTACTTAAACTATCCCAGAGTTGGCCAGTGGGAGCCCTTTCAACTTGGTTTTTGTGTTTACATGACATGCTCCCATCATTCTTTTGAGCATTTCCTTACTTTCTGGTATAACTAGAAGTTCTAGGCTCATTTTATATCTTCCTAGCCACAGACGTAGAATTAGCCATTTCACTGTGAAGCCCTGCTTTTAGTGGCATGTGGAACTACAAGTCAAGATCTGGGTGTTATATGTATTCATTGTTACTGGAGTGCCTTTGTTTCTTATGCTTTTGAGTAAATAGAACTAGAGAATATATGCATGTAGAGACTCATGTACGGATACATATACTCCTACACTTGTGCTTATATGCATACATATACATACATACATTTTACAAATAATGAATTTATATCAATACTTCCAAATTTGTCCCTATGGATTTTTTCTTACTTTCTCCTATTCCACATTTGCATGTACCTCTTTCTTTCTTTCTTTTTTTTTGAGACAAAGTCTCAAACTGTTGCCCTGGGTAGAGTGCTGTGGCATCTAAGCTCACAGCAACCTCAAACTCCTGGGCTTAAGCAATTCTCTTGCCTCAGCCTCCCAAGTAGCTGGGACTACAGGTGCCTACCAGAACGCCCGGCTATTTTTTGGTTTTAGTTGTCACTGTTGTTTGGCAGGCCCTGACTGGGTTTGAACCCCGCCCCCAGCTCTGGTGTATGTGGCTGGCGCCTTAGCCTCTTGAGCTACAGGCGCTGAGCCTGCATATACCTTTTTCCATGTAAGAATTAGAGTTCCTGGCTCGGCGCCTGTGGCTCAAGCGGCTAAGGTGCCAGCCACATACACCTAAGGTGGCGAGTTCGAATCCCCAGCCCGGGCCCGCCAAACAACAATTATGGCTGCAACCAAAAAAAAAATGGCCAGGCGTTGTGGCGGGCACCTCTGGTCCCAGCTACTTGGGAGGCTGAGGCAGGAGACTTGCTTGAGCCCAGGAGTTGGAGGTTGCTGTGAGCTGTGATGCCATGGCACTCTACCCAGGAGGATAGCTTGAGGCTCTGTCTCAAAAAAAAAAAAAAAAAAAAAAAGAATTAGAGTTCCTCAAAACTTGAACACATTTTATAAATTCCCTCAACTCTGTAATACATCTAAAATAGTTTCAGAATTGCTTCATCCATACCACCACAACAAACAAAACTAAAAAAAAAAGAGGGAGATTAGGATTTGAATTACTTATCCCCTACTTCCTGAGCTCAAGACTTAAGATATGTGGATCATTAAGAAAATTTGATGGGCCAGACAAGGTAGCTCACACCTATAATCCTAGCACTCTAAGAGGCTAAGGTGGGTGGATTACTTGAGCTCAGGAGTTTGAGACCAGCCTGAGCAAGAGTGAAACACCATCTTTAAAGTCTCTAAACAACAGCTGGGTTTTGTGGTGGGCGCCTCTAGTCCCAACTACTGGGGAGGCTAAGGCAAAAGGATGTCTTGAGCCCAAGAGTTTGAGGTTACTGTAAGCTATGATGCCCCAACACTACCAAGGGCAACAAAGGGAAACTCTGTTTCAAAAAAAAAGAAAAAAAAAAGGTTTTGAGCCAAACTGTGTTATGTTCCATTATTTCATTATAAGAAATAAAGTTAACAGTGTCCTTTCTGATTCACTTGTGCAAGTTTCAACTTGCTCGGCTTATCAGTGTTGTTGGGAGGACTTCATTTGTCTTTGTCTATGTGGATTTTAAGTTTCTTGAATTTTGTGTATCTTGAAACTTTAGAATGGCCCATGTATATATTAAAACTATGTTCCTATGTTATGTGAATGAATTCTTTTGCAATTTCTCCTATGGCACTACATTTTATTTTACACCTGAGTGAAGAGAAGTTAAATAATTATATTAATTTGAAGAAATTAAATAAGTAAATAAGAAAGAAATTTAATAAGTAACAAAAACTGAAACTAACTTCTCCAGTGCAGCCATAATAGGGGGTTCCCAGCATAAAAACCATACTTCTAGGAGGAAACAAATCATCCAATGTTTTGATGTTGGAGAAACGAGAGTCAAAAGCTCGGATGTCCTATGTAAGATAAAATACAAAAGTAAATCATAATCAAAATTTCTATAGATTGCATATCAAGTTTTTCCCCCTATGAGATTATGACTATGTTGCCTGTCTGTGTATATCAAATGTGAAGATTTTCTACATAACACTAACCACTAAAATTTACTGATTATTTATATGCCAGGCACTGTTCTGGATCCTTCACATGTTTATTTAGTTCATTTAATTCTCAAGACCACCTCTATAACGGAGACGATTATCAGCCTCACTTTACAGATAAAGAAACTGAGGCACAGAAGAGAGATAAATCTTTTACAAAGATATAAAAGGTATCTTTTATATCTTTTCATACAGCTAAAAAGCCAATTGAGGCAGTCTGTATTTACTGACTATGTTACACTGTATCCTCCAAATTACAAGAACACAACATATTTTTTAAAAATGCTGTCCCCCATCATATCTACAATTATAATCACAAGAGTAAATGCCTTTTATGTTTACCAGTTTATTTAAGGCAAACAGTTTTGAATAATAAAAATCTAAAATTCAAAGATGTGAGTTAAAGCTGGGATTTTCTTTTAGAGACTAAATCCTTAAAAACAACCCACAGAGACAAGTTTTCTAAATGTACACACAGTGAATGTTAGACCACGTAATAGTCTTTGTAAAGACTAAAGTATTTTGCAAACTATATTAAATAACAATCTCTATTATACATTGTTGAATAGTCTATTATTTATGACTATATATTAACATGATATAGTCTTTCCTTTATATAATGTATAATAGTATACATTAAGATAAAATTGAAATCTGATGTTCACTTACCTGGACTACAGTTTGATAAACAAAAGGAACAACTTGTTTTGACCACTGTTTCTCTAGACGAACGTCACCATTTTGATTTACTTGGTATTTACGACCTGTGAGTAACTGAGCATACACAACTGCAGATGTTTCATTTATTATTATTCCTTTTCTTCTTAGGTAGCTAGAAGAAAGAATAAAAAAGAAATATACATATGTATGAGTACATACATATTCTAGGATAATATCTAAGCTACCAACTCACTGGCAAATGTTTAATGAACTTTAAACAAATATGCTAGCAGTTCTGAATTCCTGAGCTCAACCAATTCACCTGCCTCAGCCTCCCTGAGTGCTAGGATTATAGATTTGAGCCACTGTATCTGGCAACTTTTTCAGGTTTTTAACATTGCAATTCCCGCTTTCTTTTTATCTGTGTTTCCCAGGTATATATTTGGCAATGTGTTCTTCAAGGAACACACTGAAGCAAACCAAACATGTATTTAAAATTGCCAAAATATAAATATAAAATTGTAGATTTGGAAGGTTACTTAGACCTTAATAATCTTGATTTTAGATGTACTTCATATAGTTCGCCAATAACTGAATGCTGATGGTGGCGATATAGTCTAAATGCTTTTATTATTTGAATTAAGGAGCTATGGAGCCACTTAGATTTACTGAGACTTGGCTCGGCACCTGCAGCACAGTGGTTACAGCATCAGCCACATACACCAACACTGGTGGGTTCAAACCCAGCCGGGGCCAACTGCAACAAAAAAAAATAGCTGGGCGTTGTGGCAGGCACCTATAGTCTCAGCTATTTGGGAGGCTGAGGCAAGAGAATCACTTAAGCCCAGGAGTTTGAGGCTGCTGTGAGCTATAATACCACAGCACTGTACCAAGGGCAACAGAGTGAGACTCTGTCTCAAAAAAAAAAAAAAGATTTATTGAGACAATTTCTACTTTGTCATTTCTATCATTTTATTTTAATTTTCTTTTTAGGACTTCTAAAGTATGTTTTATTTTGCTTTATTCTTGTCAGTCATTTCCAAGTTAGAAATCTCGCATGCTAATTTTCTATTAGTGGTTACTTTTCAATAAATAAAAAAATCCATACTTCTCTGATTTTCTGAATTATAATTAGCTTATAATTTTCTCTTTTGTAACATTAGTGTTAGCACTAAAAAATTAACTCTATATTTTAATAGTTTCAGTGTTCATCACCAATCCTTTATTTTTCATTTTTATTTTGTTGAGACAGTGTCACTCTGTCATCCTGGGAAGAGTGCCAGGGCATCACTGTAGCTCACAGCAAGCTCAAACCCTCAGGCTCAAGCAATCCTCCTGCCTCAGCCTCCTGAGTAGCTAGGACCTGCTATAATAGAGGCACCTGCTATACAGGCACCTGCTATAATGTCACCTAGCTTTTCTACTTAGTGGAAATAAAGTCTTTGCTCTTGCTTAGGCTGGTCTCAAACTCCTGAGTTCAAGCAATCCACCTACCTTGGCCTCCCAGGGTGCTAGGATTACAGGCTGTGTCTGTGAGCCACCACACACGGTCTATCACCAATTCTTTAATAATATATTTTTTTGTTGACCCAGTTCTTGCTTGGTAGAGGTATAGGTTTTGGAGTGCTCCCTCCAATTCTCTATAGGAATTGTCTTCTCTATAATGTTCCATAAAGTACTTCCTTGTCCCTTTTCCCAGGTCTTTTTCCATTCCTAAAACTTTCCTCTGCATTACATTCTTGGCCTCTACCCCTTTATATGAAGGTTCTATCATTTCCCTATCAAATATTAATAGTAGTTGTCTATTTTCTTACCATGTACTTCAAGGCTAGGAGAGGGTGTTGCAGTGTTCTTCTTATGGCCTACCGTAACCTCCAAATCCCTAGTAGTAAACTACTCTTTCCATTTTATTGTATGTTTACCATCATCCAGGGTCATACAATGTCTGCATGATCTACCTAAGACCACAGTAACTCATTTTCATAATCTCTTTATCTCCAATAAACTTTTCTTCCATTCCACTTTTTCCACTTGTTCTTATGGCTATGACTTGAGTCTTGACATTATCCCCAACTGTTCCACCTCCAAAATCATTAATTCTAATTGTTTGATAATTTCTCTTCATTTAAGATGCTTGTTCAACCAGTTAGCTTATGACCTTTATTCAACTTCATTGTAATCTCCAAGCCATGGATCCTTCTACCTTTGCCTAGACTATTAACTGTCTACTTTCTTCACTTCTTTCTCTATGCCACTTAGATTCCTTTGTCCATCATTTCAATAACATCTCAGCCATTGTTCTAAACTTCCTTGACTCTTTGTCTGCTCACTGTACCCATCCAGCAAAATCCAGCCCTGGTTAAATCTATTATCTGTTTCCTCTAGGGCTGCGACTGTTGAGTAGACTGCCAAAACATAGACCAGACTGTTTCATTATAAATCCATGACCTGCAGCTTTAAAAAGGGCCATCAATACCACTTATAATTCTACCATATTTTTCTGATCATCATCTGATACTCTTCTATTTCCTCCAAGAACTATTTTCAAACCTCCTACACACTACTCAAATTTATAACCAACCTCCCTTTACTTCCCATTATCCTCAATAGCTAAACTCAGTATTTACTATATATAAAAAAAATAAGGAATCAAATGAGAATGCCTCATTTTTCCCATGCCAAACACACAAACCATCTACATTTGCATCACGCCCTGTAAAAATCAGAGGAGATAACCTGTAACCTATTTAGGAATCCATTTTCTTCCATCCTCAAATTTACTCTACTTTTTTTTTGGAGACAGAGTTTTACTATGTTGCCCTCAGTAGAGTGCCAGGTGTCACAGCTCACAGCAACCTCAAACTCTTGGGCTTAAGTGATTCTCTTGCCTCAGCCTCCCAAGTAGCTGGGACTACAGGCACCTGCCACAATGCCCAGCTATTTTTTTGTTGTATTGTTATTAGTGTTGTTTGGCAGGCCTGGGGTGAGTTTGAACCTGCCAGCCCCAGTGTATGTGGTTGGTGCCCTTGTCGCTGAGCTACAGGCACTGAGCCTCCAATTTACTCTATTCTCTCTCCTGAATATTGCACTTCCCTTCTCATTTGTTTTTACACATGATTAAATCGCTCTGAATAGGCCAGGTGTGGTAGCTCATGCCTATAATCCTAGCATTTTGGGAGGCAGAAGTAGGAGGACTGTTTGAGGTCAGGAGTTCGAGACCAGCCTGAGCAAGAACAAGACCCTGTCTCTGACAAAAAAAAAGAAAAGGAAAAATTAGCTGGTGTGGTGCCTGAACCTGTAGTCCTAGTTACTTGGGAGGCTGAGGCAGGAGAATTGCTTGAGCCCAAGAGTCTGAGGTTGCAGTGAGCCATAATGATGCCACTGCACTTTAGCCCAGGTGACAGAGTGAAACTCTGTCTCAAACAAACAGAAAACCAGACTCTGGTTCTATAATATTAAATAATTTTTATGACACTCACTGTTCTGAAATTCCTTGTACTTCTTTTGTCCAGTTAGATTGTTCTTTATCTCCAAGGTGGACCACTTTAGATGGTGGAGCAGTTCTTCCCAAATAAAGCTTCTGTGTTCCTGGAGGTTCTTCCAAGAAAAACCTTAAAAGTTAAAATAAAATGCAAATTATATAAGTTATGACTTAATATAAAGTTCTAGTAGTTGGAATCTTCAAAATGAAAAATATTTTATAAGACACATCAGTAAAACAAAACCAAAACCTGAAACTGTAAGAGGGAATGGTTAACAGATACAAAAACATGGTTGGACAGAATGAATGAGATTTAGTGTTGAGTAGCACAAAAGGGCAAGAATAATTTATTTTATATTTCAAAATCACTAAGAGTGGAATTGTAAAGTTCCTAAAATAAAGAAAGGATAGGCTGGGTGACTCACACTTGCAATCCTAGCAATTTGGGAGGTCAAGGTGAGTGGATTGCTTGAGCTCAGGAGTTTGAGACCAGCCTGAGCAAGAGTGAGACCCCATCTCTACTAAAAATAGAAAAACTAGTTGGGTGTTGTTGCTGATGCCTATAGTCACAGCTATTTCAGAGGCTAAGAAAAAAGAATTGCTCAAACCCAAGAGTCTGAGGTTGCTGTGAGCTAATATGCCACTGCACTCTCCTCAGGATTACAAACTAAGACTCTGTTTAAAGAAAAGAAAAAAATTAAATGATAAATACTTGAGGTGACAGATAGCACAATTACCCTTATTTGATCAACAATACACATTGGTTGTATAAAAATATGTACAAATATACCCCATTAGACAAGTATAGCTATTATGTTTATGTATCCATAATCAAAAATTAAAAATTAACTAAAACACTAAAAGTAATATGAAATGCAGAACAAAGACTTGCCAAACATTTCAATTGAAATTTAAAAGCATGGGAAGAGTGGAGGAGGATGAAAAGAAGATGGTTAATGGGTATATTTTAGTTAGATAGAAGGAGTTATAGTGTTATATAATAGCACAGTAGGGTGATTATCATTAACAATAATTTATTATATATTTCAAAATAGCTAAAAGAGGGAATTTTTCTTTTTTTGAGACAGAGTCTCACTTTGTCACCCTTGATAGAGTGCTGTGATGTCATAGCTCACAGCAACCTCCATCTCTTGGGCTTAAGTGATTTTCTTGCCTCAGCCTCCCAAGTAGCAGGATCTTGCCTATTTTTTTTTTTTTTTTTAGAGATGGGGGTCTTGCTCTGGCTCAGGCTGGTCTTGAACCTGTGAGCTCAGTGCAATCCACCCACCTCGGCCTCTCAGAGTGCTAGGATTACAGGCATGAGCCACCACACTCAGCCTAAAGGAGAGGATGTAAAATGTTTCCAACACAAAGAAATGATAATTTTTCGAGGTGACAGATATTATAAATACCCTGATTTGATCATTACACATTGTAAGCATGTATCAAAGAATCAAAATACAATGTACCCCATATATACTTATAGTTATCATGTATCAATTAAAAATTTAAAAGCAAATTATTTTTTTCCTTTAAGAAACTAAACTATATAATAAAAAAATTTTGAGCCCAGGTGTGGTGGATCATGCCTGTAATTCCAGCACTCTGGGAGGCAGAGGCAGGTGGATTACTTGAGCTCAGGAGTTCAAGACCAGCCTGAGCAAGAGTGAGACTTCATCTCCACTAAAAATAGAAAAATTAGCTGGGCATTGTAGTAGGTGCCTATAGTCCCAGTTATTTGGGAGGCTGAGGCAAAAGGATTGCTCAAGCCCAAGAACTTGAGGTTGCTGTGGGCATGATGCCATGGCACTCTTTACCTAGGGTGACACAGTGAAACTGTCTCAATTAAAAAAAAATTTCTTTTTGCGAGTTTATATACACTCCCCCCACCAAAAACAAACAAACAAATTCTCAAATTCAACATGAAGTATGTAATATTACCTATAAAGTATTTTTGCCAAAACAGCTGAACCTGAATCTAATCAAGCCACTAGTGTTAACTTCTAGTTTATAAGAAGTATGTGGGATGGAGAACTAAGTTAAATGAGGAAACAATAGGGTAAATCTGAAATTCTACAAAATAATTGGCATAGATTCTTCAAAAATGAAAAGGGCAAGGAAATAATTTCAAAGTTTGGCAAGGTCCTAAGGTGTAAAATCAACAAATAAAAATCAATTATGTTTCTATATACTAGCTGGGGAAATAAATTTAAAACACAGTTGCTCTAAGAAAAATGAAATATGGCTCGGCGCC